ATAATCTATTCATTCCTCCAGATCAAAACTGTGTGGGTTATTAAGGAAGCTGAAATACATTTACTCTTAGGGTAGAAAATGTGAAACAGGTAAAGATTTCTTCTGAGCCTTGGGAAAAGAAAAACCTTAAACTATTTAGCAAACAAAAAAAATAAAATAAACTCTATAAAGTCATAATGTTCTTCTCCCAAAGAAGCTGCCTTCTGAACATTAGCACATTGATATCAAAGAAATTTAGGACATTAAAAAAATTTAAAAAAAAACATATGAATGCATCGGAATTACTACAAGGAACGATCCCTACATTGCTGACACATGGATAATCGTTAAGAGAAGCTCCCATGTTACTAAAACTAATAGAGAAGATACCTGGAAATACTTAAGATGTTTTGTCTACTATAGATAGAAAGAGTGAGACAAAAAAGCAGAAAATTAATCTTTTGGAAGACACAAGGTCACAAAGATAAATGGAAACATTCACCTCTTGAATAAATTCTTTCTGGTTCTGTTTCACCAAGCAATGGTAAGATAGTTGAAAAGATATCTCAATATTCTTAATGGACAAGGGAAACAGCAGAACAATGAGACAGTAAAAGTCTCCTGGTAGAAATCTCTACTTAATTGTCTATAGCTACCAATACGACTGCTTGTGATGTTACAGGATTTTTAAAAGGCAGCTTTAGATCGATATTACCTTAAAATGTAAAGAGCAAGGCGTCCTTTGAAAATTTTCTTCTCATTCTCCCAAGTAAATACAATTCAAAAGTTATATATCACCTTTTAGTTATGCTCACAGAATTATATAATGGTCATTAGGATATACAATTTTCAGTTTACTAAAGTCCTTAAGTTCTCTTCTACTTCACTATCTAACTACTTAAGTATCAAAGAAACTCCAGGTGACATTTTGTCAGTAACATTGCTTCTATACAAATAATTCTGGGGGTACCTGGGTGGCAAGGCTGATTAAGCGTCTAACTTCAACTCAGGTCATGATCTCAAGGTTCAAGGATTCAAGCTCCATGTCCAGCTCTGTGCTGACAGTTCGGAGCCTGGAGCCTGCTTTGGATTCTGTGTCTCCCTCTTTCTCTGCCC